CTGCGGGTCAGTAGCCGAATACCTTAGCCACTAGACCACCGCGGCGGGGCTCACTGAAGCTGAGGTTGGCATCGAAACTCTAGCTTTCGAGGCTGCTTTGAAGCAGTTCGGCGCAAGAAAACGGAAATGTATCAAAATGCGCAATATGCTCAGCTGTCTCACCCCTGATTAACTTTTATAGGTGCGGAGACCAAAGCGTAACAAAAAAAAGACTGGGCAGATCCCACTGTGCTAGTTTACCACCTGTTCTCGGCGCAACGTTAGCCTTTATCTCTTATTCTAAGCGTGCGTGTGCGACAACACATTCATTTTAGCGGCAGAAGCTATCACTATACAGGCAACAAGTTGAAGATAGTCGGTCACTCACCTAAGATACGCTGACCCACGCCAAGCCGGTGTGAAGAAAGCAGGCTGGTGTCCAATCGTGCAGCTTCACAGAACACATCGTCGACGCGATGATGTGCGATTATATACCAATCGACAGTCGACGGCGTGGCGATTGGTGATTGTGGAACGCCCTCTCCAGTTTACATGAAGAATGAAAAGCTCTAAATTGCTGTTCAGCGCGAGATTCGGATTTGTAAAATGAAAATAAAAAATAAAAAAGGCGAGTACCAGCACTGCTAACCGCACTACTGACCTTTGCGGTGCGAGCAGCAGTGCAGGTACTTGCCCGCAGGTACCGCACACCAGTGCATTTTGACACGGCTGAGATCGGTGAAGTGCTAAATGCACCGGATTCACTGGAACGGACGCTTGCCGCTGTGGCTTCAGAGATGCGATTTCTAGTTGAAAGACAGGACACAGTCGGCGCGACGGCGCAAGTGTACAGCCCCCCCCCCCCCCCCCAAATTGCAGGTTCCAGTGGCACTTCATGCTCTGACTAGATTTGGAAGCACCGGTCGCAACATGCCACACCCGGGCAGTTTCATCAGGGAGTGCACGTGCTTGTGGATCTCATGGTATTGGTCACTGCTGAAGTGTCCGCCACATATGCCACAGCCCCCACAATGGTCCCTGTGGGTCACTTCATGCGGCGCTAGACTAGCCAAGGTGACTAAAGCAGTGAAGGGACGTTGGGGCCCTCGACTGCAATGCCACGCTCCTCCTTTATACTTTCAGGAGAGCAGGGTTCCAGATGTGGCGATTGGTGATTGTGGAGCGCCCTCTCCAGTTTACATGAAGAATGAAAAGCTCTAAATTGCTGTTCAGCGCGAGATTCGGATTTGTACAGCATTAGCATTTGCAACATAGCGATTGATATCAAATGGCAAGCTCCATGCATGCATGGCGCGACCGCATGCAGAGAAAATTGCACGAACCTTCTTCTGTGTACGGAGGGCTCATTTGTACTGAAATAATCTATTTCCTTCTATTTTCGCCATTGTGGAGGGAGCGTTCATATTGCCACTTATTTTAGTAGTGGGTCGTATGCCAAGGTGAAGGCTCACACCACAGAGAAGAAAGAAGTGCGCGTGGGCCCCCCCCCCCCCCTGCTCTGGCAAACAAGCCCAACCAACGCGCTTGGTTAGAGCCCTGTTGCTCAGACGTCAATAAACCTTGCCGACACCCCCTGGAGCGACGTGACAATATATCGAAAAATGTAGCCAAGTTTTATCTATATACGGAGTGCTCATGTGTATTGCAATAATCTGTTTGCTTCTATTTTCGCCATGGTGGAGGGAGCGTCCATATGTCGATCTATGGAGCCACGCTTTATCTATATACGGAGGGATCATTGTTATTCTAATAATATGCTTGCTTACGTATTTTTCATTGACGAAGGAAGCATGGGTATGTTCAGCAAGGAGCCTAATTTTCATTGGTGCACGCGTGATACGCCCTTGCTTTGTAGCACGGACGGGGTCCTAATAATTTGAATGAGGATACCACCACCTCTTTGTCCGTAATTGCAGCATATCTTTTGCAGTGCATGTGAACATGCTGTGTATGCGCAACCGCTAGCCCTAGCACTTTCAGAACGCGCTAGCACATTCCACAGCGCGCAGTTGGCTATGGAAAAGGCGGTTGCCTCTCCCCCTTACAGTCTCTCAGCAATCATGTGATAGCGTCAGGGAGCTAGATTCTGCAGACGTGCAATAAACGCACGAGCTCTCGCGTGGCATGCTACATCTATATGTCAGGAGGATTAACAGCAACGGAAAATACAGTGATTCCATGGTGTGCTCCACTTGCAAGGACGCGTCACCATCAGGCGACATGTCCCACAGCTGGAAAAATTTCTAGTCCCGGTTGGATTATGAGACAAGAAATCGATTCCAGCCAGTATTTACCTGGTCGGAATGTAAGCCCTTCTGGCTGGAAATGAAACTCATTCCAGCAAGAAACGGAAACCATCCTAGCTAGAACTGGAAATAATTCTAGCCGGAAATGAACGTCATTTTATCTGGAAATGGAAATGATTCTAGCCGGAAATAGAAATCATTCTAGCCGTAAATTGAAGTAATTCTAGCCAGTAATGAAAGTCGTTCTAGCTGGAAACAAGTTATTCCAACCAGAAACAAAATACATACCAGCAGGAAATGGGAGCTGTTTTTGGCAAGAAATTGGAAGCATTTTCATATCGTAAGAAGCATGATGTTCTCATGGAAAAAGTGCCTTTCCTGGTGCAAAAAGGAGGCCAGGCTCCAGAAATATACTTTATTATATGTCTTTGATCTTATGCTTTCCCCTGGTTCAGCTTCTTCTTCACATCATGAATCTTCTCGCTTAGTACGCGCTGGAGCCCATGTGTAGCCGCTGTAACATCTTCTTTTTTGCATTTGCCCCAATAGAAGGCTATAGATAAACAAAAAGATGCACAGCTTTCAACAAAACAACAAAACAAATATGCTCACCGTTCACAACCGGCACGTTTTCTGGGGAAAGGTGCTTGTCTCTTCCTTGGGCACAGAAGGACCACTGACAGTGAGGCAGAGCTATAGCCCCTGTTTTACAAAAGGTTTTCGCTGAATCTTTTAACAAGGGTAGCCTACCACCTTCATTCAAGAAAGCACACACTGTTCTGATCCCGAAAAGTAAAGACCCTGTAAAACAGAAATATGTATCTGGTTATAGGCCTATAACATTGACGAATGTTGACTGCAATATACTAATGAAAGTTCTGGCGATGCGGTTGCAAACAGTCATATGTACACTGGTTGGCCCACATCAAACCTGTGGAATAAGAGGAAGATCAATTTTTACGAACATACATGTAACACGAAGCATATTGGAGTGCTGTGACGCTGACTTCAGAAGAGTTGCAATGTTGCAAATCGATCTAGCGAAGGCCTTTGATCTAGTTTGTCATAGCATTTTGTTTAAATCGTTAGAACATGTTGGCGTAGGGTCTATGATACTGAAGGGTGTTCCGATGGCTTATGACAATTGTTCAACCAAGTTGATTGTGAACCGCGAGTCAACTAGAAGAATTATAGTATGTGCATCAGTAAGGCAAGGATGCCCACTTTCACCTTTATTATTTGCTTTGTACCTGGAACCTCTGTGCGCGGCCATTACAAAAAATTCAAATATACAAGGTTTTCATTTAGGAGCGTGTGAGGTAAAGATATTGGCATATGCTGATGATGTTGCAATATTTTGTACCAGTTAAGAGAGCATACCCACCTCCACGAGCATTGCACGAAGGTTTTGTGATGCTACTAGTAGCATTGTAAACATAGACAAGTGTGTTGGGCTGTGGCATGGAAATTGGGAAGCATTCCCAGCGGTTAATGAACGGATCAAATGGTCAAGCAAGCATAACACATACCTCGGTGTTCCGCTTGACCAGTATAAGAACAACGATGATCTGTGGGCCGAAAAAACCAAAGGGCTATCTGTTCTGACACAGAAATAGGGAGGCCGTGATCTGTCCATCTTCGCTCGCGCGACAATGTGCAACGTCTTCCTGGTATTACAGCTGCTTTACTTGCTGCAAGTACTGTCGTGTTCCAGGATCAATATCCAGAGGATTCATAGGCTTCTTGCTCTTTTCGTGTGGCAACCTCAGTATGAACGGCCAAACCGCAACAACTTCTTCTTAAGACTAAAAAGAGATGATTTAGCCTTGCCACACTTACTTTTGAGGCAGGTTGTATCAAGGTTTTTCTTTCTACGAGATCAACAAGATCCCTTTTTACGTACATCTCTTCAAATCAGGCTAGCATCGACATTGCCCAACTTTATTGTTACCTCGAATGATGAATTCCGCAATGGTGTCAGTACCTTTCTTCGAGAAGTTGTTGTGGCCTTTCGATTTCTTAGTGATAGATTTAGTTTACAGTACTTTTCTAACGTCACTTGGAAGCGTTTGTCGAGAGACTTGACTGAAATTGTTTTTCCTGTCCTTTTCTATCGTTCTATGTGTAGTGGAAGCCAAGCAGAAGACGTTTTGAAAAGAGTTGAGAAGATGATCGTACCAGCTGGAGTTAAAACGTTCTTTTATAAGCTGCACACGAATACGCTGCCGGTTAAAACGTGGCTAGAACAAAGAGGGAATTTTTTACCGTGGGGATCCAACTGCTTATTGTGCCGAAAGCCTGAGTCGGTACAGCATGTTTTTATAGATTGCTGGGACGCATTTTTATTCTGGGATGTTCTACGGAGAACACTTAAGAAAAATTTGCCTCTCACTTCACATAGGAATTCGATTTTTAGCAATAGAACCTGGCCTACTAAAATTTGATATGTTCTTTCTCCTTGGTTTACACAGCATATGGCTAAGCCACATGGCAGTCAGACATTGTGATTTAGACGCGCGGCCAGTACGTACGTATTTTATTGAACATACGTGCAAGTTGCGAGAAGTTTTTGCAAAACTTTGCTACAATGATGAACTGCTAAATTTTATGGGTGAATTATGTCATTTGAAACCATTTTAAATATGTGTGGCAAATGGCTCATCTGCCTTGAAGCCATTGAATTGAGCTAGAAGCTCAGTCCGAGTGTGTTTGCTGTTGTATGAATGTCACATGCTGCAATAAAGAATGAAAAGTGGCGCCGTGGCTTAGTTGGTTAAAGCGCCTGTTTTATAAACAGGAGGTTGTGAGTGCGAATCTCACCCACTGGTGCCTTTCTTTATGTGGCCTTCTGACAGTATTTTTTTTAATATATTTTGCGCGCTAACTGTATATTTCAACGTCCACGAATTTCTTCCACGAGTATGTCAACGTCCACGCATTTCTTCCACGAGTATGTCAACGTCCACGAATATGTCACAAATTTCTTCAATAAAAAAGCCGCTATTTGAAGCCCACAATACTCTTGCCCTAAAACGTGGATAAACAATATGCGCGAAACGATTTTCACACGTTTGTTTTATTTGTCAACTACTTATGACTATTAGGGTTATTGAAGATCAATAATTTATTTTTAGTGTTGTGACTGGGATAGCTTTCCATGGCCGATGATTTGGCGCCGTGGCTTAGAATTCCACACCTGACCACCTAAGTGAGCTGACGTGGGTGACATGTGCTGCGTTATTAACGGGGCGGCTTCTGCCACAGATACCTATAAGGCGGGTTGTTTCGAACACTTTGTTTTTACGTGCCGATGTGAGTGCATGGCTGTATCGTGTTGAACACTTCAGGGGCATGTTGGCGATTTTTCAATTGCCCTTTGACATGGTTACCACCGATGAAGAGTATCACCAATGAGGAGAGGGGGAGGTCTTTCTGACTCTAGTTTTACAGCATTTCACATTATGACAAGAACCCCATCACAGAATTCTGCTAGTTTGCGTTCACAATACTGCCACTCATTTGTTTTGAAATATCACCATAACAAAATCCATTAGAAGGATTAAAACAAACTATTGGCTATCACACTTCAGACAGGCAAATTTAGCTGCGCTAAGCCTTTGTTCTTAATGAAGTTTTAGTTATTCCCAATACTGCTGCTCTCCCAGGGCGCACGTTAAAGAACCTCAGGTGTCGAAATTTCCGGAGTCCTCCACTACCGCGTCTCTCATAATCATATGGTGGTTTTGGGACGTTAAACCCCACCACATATCTTCAATACTGCTGCTCTCATCTGAGAGCGTAACAGGAGGGCAAGTTGCATGGTTGGTGCGAATGCGGGTTCTTGTCGCGCCGAGGCGTTCATCAGGGCTAATTGGTGTAAGAATGCTGTGCTTGAATTATTCAGGCTTCAGTGAAAAAGCTAGCGCTTTCTGGTGCACCGGTATTGACAAGCAGGGTGGGGCTCAACGCCTTTTCTCTCCCGCCGCGAGGTCACCAAGATTATGCCAGTTCTAGGACATTGACAATGTCGTAACAATTAGAACACACCATTTCAAAAGTTAATGTCCCGTCGGCCGCGCAGTACACTAAAGCTTAAATACCGATGACAACTTTAACTATCTGTTAGGGGTTAGGGGGCTTGTTGAGCCCGCGTTGTTCGCAGTTCTGCGATGATTACACGCTTGGCCACAGCGTCAGTATGAGGCTGCAGAGGCGACATGGCCGGTGCGCCATTGTTGCTCCCTCTCAGCCCGCTCAAGGCCATTTTCAGTCTTTGAGAAGGGACGGCACGCCTTTCAAGGGTTAAATGTGAGAAGCACAACAGAAAAATTCACTTCGACAATGGAATCCGGGAAGAGGGCTGTTAGCCGAGTTTTGAATTATTCACAACACACCTGGAAATATGATCCGCTCGCTTGGAACGGTACCACTCGGCAGAGCCGCGTGAGATTTCAAGCAAGCAGGACGTGCGTTTTTCGCGCTCCCGTTCATTCATTCACCGTAGCTCCACGCTTTTTTGCGCACAGCTCTTTAAGGGCTACAGATGGCGCCTCAAGCCTGTTTCACATAAAGCTCCTTGATCTTGAGAAAGTACCGACATCCACTGTAATCGCCGCCACGCGCTCGACCTCCTCTGTCCCTCCTCGCCCCCCTTTGCGTCCTCCCGGTCTCCGACACTTCTTCTGCACGATGATTAGTCTCCTTCGCGGTTACCTTTAGAGACGCGTGGATCTTGCGCATTGCTTGTGTGTGTTTTTTTTTTTTTTTGGCTCGCGCCATTTTTTACAGACGCTCCGCGTAACAACCACAGCGTGCGCTTTTTCATCTTTGCTTTGTGCGGGCACAATGTCATGCTGTCGCGCCTATATGACTGCAACAACCACAGTGGAAAAGGTAACGCACTTTTTATAATAGGGAGTTTAGAATAGCACACCCCGAGCCCTTGCGGTGCGGTCGCTGCCACTGCGCATGCGTCGTAACGCGAGTCTGCGTTCGCGTTCGAAGACCACACGTGAAAAATCCGAAATTGCGTGCGGTGATGGCGGCCTGCATGTGGCCCGCAAGCGCTGGTTTCGAGGCTACGGTGTCGCTGCGATCGTGCGTTGCGGATCGCAGTAGGGCAAATGCTATTCTAAAACTCATATGGCGCCCGCTACGCCCGCAACGCCCGCAGCGCTTGTAAACGGTATTCTAAACTCCCTGATATTCCAAGGTAAACGCGATAGCTTGCGCATGCAGCAGTGGTTCCATAACATCGGCCGAAAAAACTTCGTTCCAACAAAGAACAGCATTGTTTGCGAGGTAAGGCACCTTTCTTATTGCTCGTATCAAAGCATCACCGAATGCTGCATTTGAAATATTGTTTCAGCCTGCTCATCAACATAAGCGCCCTTTAGAGGCGAAGCTCCTTACGCCGTAGGTCGCATGTCCCGTGTCGACGTAGTCGTCGCAGTAGCCAGTTCCATTGCATTGGATGTTAATAAAAACGGTGTCACAGCATATCTACGGAGTGAATGATGAGCGGGACAAAGCGTCCATCAGTCCGTCCGTGCTTCCGTGCGTACGTCCATCCATCCGTGTGTGCATTCGTCCGTGCGTCCGTTTGTGCGCAAACTTTGCCGCACTTGTCCTCATTCGCCTCCGGGATATGTTGTGATTTTTTTTATTGGCTATTTGTGCGATGCTTCAAGCTGGATTTCTCATCAATATGCTAAGTTCTTTTGTTAGAAACATGAAGAAAGTTTGTTCATTTAACATTTTTATACAAAGTTATTGCCGGGAAACTTGCCTTAAATGTACCTTGTTGCGTACAGCCAGCCGCTATTTAAGAATACCCACCGAAAACATGATCGATCCTCTGCACCTATATATGCACGAAATAATGCTTACAAATGCAGTTAGTTTTCCAGAACAGTTGATGACTGGGATTCACTGCCTCATGAGATTTTTTTCGGCTGACAATTTTGCTATTTCGCTGGAAACGTATCTACTTGGTGATTAGAGTGTTCAAATGTATTGTAAATTTTGTTCCTGTTTCACAGACCTGTGACCTCTGTTAGCGTATAGTTATGTTTTTTTTGCTGGTACTAGTCACTTGATGTCTCTTATGCTCCCCCCCCCCCCTGCCTGGACCAAAATGTTAATCCGCAGTGGGTTTAAATAAATATTCGATGGACATGTGGGGTTTACTAAATAAATAAATGAAAATATATAAAAATATCCAGCTCATACTTCATCACCTCGCTCGCACCTCGGCAATCGTCAAAAATGCACAAATGTAGTATGCTTTTGCTGCAAATAATAACGTTCAATGACACAGCTTCTCAATCACGCTTTGTGTGAATGTTAGGATTTCTTTACTAGAACGTTTGCTGGAGAAAACAAATGAATGTATAAACAGAAATGACTCTAAATGGCACTCATTCCCATAAGGGCATTTATTTTGTTTCGTATTTTTTTTTTGAGGGGGGATTAACGCACAAAAATGATCACATAGATGCGGTCCATCAAAAAAAAAAAAAAGAAATACAGAGGCGCGACGCAAAAAAAAAGCTATAGCGCAGTGATGCTGTAAGTGAGCCATTTTCTAGGAGACTGTGGCCGCAATTGCTTTGGTCACGTCTGCATTAGCATTTCTTCCATTCACCAAAAAGAAACTATTTAATCTTTCATACCAGTGTCGCATGGGTACTTCTGACCAGGATCAGTCAGTCTGGATAGGATTGTTTGGTCGCCATCGACGCGCATGTTATGACGATCTTGATCCAAATCGGGTGTGATCGCGATTATAAGCGACCGCGTAGCAGCCCCTCATCCGAATGGAGCCTGATCCAAAACGGGTCTTATCGCGATAAAAAGCGTGATGACGATATGAATTACAGCCTTGACTGCTACATGACGTCTTGCGTTAGTGATCACTTTTTCCCGCGCAGTGCATGTGTTTTCCTATTTGGCCTGCGCAGATTCACGTTTGTGAGACTACTAATATGCGTAGTTTTGCAAATAAACCTAATGGGAAATTCAGCGCTTAAATGACGTGACACGCCACGAGCGGACATGCCACAAGCGGAACTACATTAAATGCAAACGTACAACATGTTATCATGTGGCAGAAAAACATCCGCATCGTGAAACTCCCCATAAAAGCTTTTATTTATTTAGCATGCCCCACTTATACGACCTTTGGTAGAAGCTAATAAAAGGTTGCTTCAGTGTTCATAATTTTATTATCACCATCGAAAAAAAATTGGCCCTGTATCTGCATGTGAATCAGCAGATGTCGTCGAAAGACAATAGTCTTGCGTGTGGAGAGAGTGAACAAAACATTTATTATGTTCTGCGCAAGAAAATTGGTGAATAGCATTCTGGAGGCGCTGCGTTAGAGTGATTCAAGCATGCAGTGGAGTCGAACGAACGCATCAAGCACGTTACACGTGAGGCATGAGCGCCATCTGGCAGTTTTTTCGGAAAACGAAGCACGTGGCTCTGAGACGGGTGTGCGCGCCCGTCTCAGAGGTGGTAAGGTGTAGAACGCAAAGCGACGGGTAGGTGCCACCACCGTCTCGTCTTAGCAAAGCTTTCGAAACACTCGCCTTTTTGTGCAAGCGTCGCACGGTCAGCGCAGCGTGAAAAGCGCTATGGTCCTTAAAATTTCTTTATATATATATATATATATATATATATATATATATATATATATATATATATAATATATATATATATATATATATATATATATATATATATATATATATATATATATATATATTGCTGCCTTCTTGGCAAATGAAGGTGCCATAAGATTTCTCAACGTGGATACGCTCACCTGGCAA